CTCAGGCAATCTGACCCCAAATCTTGCCATTTTAACCACTACTCCATGCTGCCTGAAAAAAGGAGTCACTCCTCTTTCTTTTGTTAAAGACATATGCATTGTGTTTATCTGATTATAAACACATACATGCTCATTAAGTATTTTTTAAAAAGCTAAAGTGAAGGAGAAAATCTTACCCTTAATCTCGCCAGCTAGAGACCAGCACTGTTAACCTTTCAGTATATGTCCATCCAGTCTTTAGTATTATACGTGCACTATTTTTTAGCCTAGTTGAGATTATATTGTGCATACCGTTTTGTTTTCTGCTTTTCTTCCTCTCCATATACTGTCATTTTCTTTTCAAAACATCTCTTTTCAAGTCCTTTTGTAAATAGTCATAGTGTTTTAAAGCTGGTAATGAGTGCCCCAGATTCATTTTAGAGAAGGGGCAGAGTAATAAAATCCTTGGAAAAGAAAAGCGTGGAAAAAAAGATGAAAAGAGGAAAATATGGGTCTGCAATTACTAAGAAATGGCTTCCATTTGTTCATGAATGTGAAAATTTAAATTCCATTTTTTCCTTCTTCTGTATCTCTATTGCATTTTTTGCTCTATTTCTATTTGGACAGTTTTGTTGGGGTCAGTATGCCTAAGTGACTGTGTCTGGGGAACAGCAGGATATTCTGGAAATTTTCCTAGGAATCCAATTTTAGGAAAACCAAAAGTAGATTATTGCTGTTTTAAGGGACTAAAAAAAATGATAGTGGGTCCTAGAGTATTAGAATGTTAGACTCAAAGTATAGCGATTCTCTAGCCCAATTCTCTCTCATTTTACTGATGGAGCAATTGAGTCCAGAGAAGTTAAATGAACCCTATAGATCACACAGCTACTGAAGGCAACTGGACTAAAATCTAGGTCTCCTGATTCCTAGGCCACTGTTTTAGAAAACTTCTGAAACCCTTTAAAATCTATTACTTAATCCTTGTAAGAACTCAGTGAAGTGTGTTAGTGTTATTTATTCTGACTTTAGCGCCATTTACTTGAAAAGTGATTAGATGTCTTTAAAACAAAACTGATTCTACTATAATTAAACATGTTTTTAATCGCTCCAAAAAGGACAGACTATTAATTAGGCTTATCACCTTAGGAATTAGCTTTCAGTTTCTTGTGCAACCAGTTTAAAGATCACCACTTCTCATCTGGCCTCTTAAATTCTTTTTATATTAGGCATAAAGCCTGTATTTTCTCAGTAAGATTAAGCAAATACATAGTCATAAGATTAGCTGCATCTCAGTGCTCCTCCAGTCCTCTCAGTAAATGAATGAATGGGGGAAGGGAAGTATATTACCTCAGGACTTGCATAAATTATTATAATAGAATGCATCAATTTGCCTGTCAGTTTTCTTTCCAAATGACATCCTTAGGCTGCAATTTCTTATCTGCCCTGTTTGCTATATGGAATAAACAGGGGATGCCCAGTAGATTTGTTTATGTAATTTATTGTGATAATTATTCTCTGAATATGATCAAATAGTTTGCCAAAGCAGACTTTAATTAAGGTTTGTATAGAAAGCTCTTTAATCACTAAAGTAAATGAGTTGGAATTTTTAGTTCAAAATTTGAATTGAAGTGGTTGTATTATAGACCTAGGGAGTAGGTGAGTTTGGAGTTCAGGGCTTTTTGTCTATCCTTTCTCAGATGTTCTTCCTTTCAGTAGTCATTGCTTTCATGCTGTCTGCTTGGCATTCCACAAGAGCTTGCCCCTCCCAAAATGAATCTCTAGTTCCTGTCACCATTACCATTACAATGCCTATTCCCTCTACACCCAGTGCCCTGATCTCAGTGAGCAGGAGCAGAGGGATTATAGAGAGAGCTGAAAGGAAACTTGCTTGGAAAGCATCGCATCTCATTTTATTGATGGGGAAACTTAGGCCTAGAGTGGCATGGTCACTTGCCCAAGGTTAATGGCAGGAGTGGAATTCAAATACCCTGAGGCATGATTTAACCTAGATGAGTTTTAGCTTTCTCCTCTGTAAAATGGAAATCAAGACATTTACTCAGGTTACTATGAGGATCAAATATGACAAAATAAGTGAAAACACTTTGAAAACTGCGATTACGTACAAGTATCTTAAAATTTTTTTTCTAATAAGCTATGCTGCTTTTCTTATGCTAGGTGTTAATAACTAATAAATGTTAATATGTGACTCTTCCAAGTGGGATTTGCATTTTGAAAGAGGAGGTCCTGAGGACACGTCTAACCCTAAAGGACATACATGGATAGAGAAGCGTTCTGGATGCCCTCCAGATCACTCCAGAGGTGGTGAACTTAGCCATGTAGAGCCATATATTTTAAGAGTAAGAACAAAGCATACTTTCCAGAGGCCAGGGAGCTAAGAACTTTGTAAGGGACCTGAAAAACTGCCCACATAGTAGTTCAAGCATCTAGGGTGGGGTTTGACTAAATTAACTTAAAAATCCCTTTTAACACCGAAGTTTTGTAATTGTGTGATTCCAATTGATTCATTTTTACAACACACAGTCCTGTTCATGAGCTTTCTCTTCAGACCCAGAAATACCTATAGTATGTTACAAATTGCTTATTGATCTTAAAAAAGAAAAAGAAAAAAGAACCCAACATACATATAAGCACATACTCACACACATACCCTTCAACAAGTTGGATTGTTTTTAAAGTTAAACTGAATATGAAAGAAAAGGACCATACCTTCTGGCCTTCAAACTGCCAACCTTGAAGAAATGGGTTTGAATATTATTTAATGATACTCAGCAAGGGAGAAAATCCCAGTCCCAGTTTCCACCAACCCTTCATTTATTTGGATGAATATGGAGTCCAAAACGATCTTTCTAATTAGCTGCCTCCATGTCTGTGTGGCAACGTGAATAGAAACAGGATCATCACACCCTACTTGGGAGCAGAGCACCTGCTAAAGGGATCAAATGTTACGCATTTTTATACCCCCAGTACTTGACACCCAGTGGGTGCTCATGACATATTTGTTCAATGAATGAATACATCAGTGTGTTGCAGGTCAGGTCTAGGAGAGTAGGGAGAAGGTTATTGCAGATTTTGTATAAAAGGCATAGTAGTGTTGGGGACCATGGCTCATTTGTGGAACAACAGGAAGTTCAGTTTACCTGAAGTAGAGTGCTCTGTGGTGGAGGTGAAACAGCTAGAAATGAGGCTGGGCAGGTAAGGTCAGATCTGCAAGGGTTTCACATGCTGTGCCATAGGTTTTGGATCGTATCCTGAAAGCAACAGGGGTGAGAGGAGGGAGTAGAAAAGGATTGGAAGCTGGGGTGGGCTTTTGAGTTGGGATGCAGTGTCATGATTATATTGTGTTTTAGAGCCAACTCCGGCTTCTGGTGTAAAATGGATGAGAACAGGAGTGTTGGGAGGCCAGCCAGAAGGGTGAGAGCCTAGAGGCAAGGTAGCCAGTTAGCAGGCTCTGTGGCAGTTGTGTGAACAGAACCAGATGTGAGCAAAGACAATGGTAGCAAGCAGAGATGGAGATGTGTTTAGGACAGAATGAGCTGGTGAAGAGGACTTGACAGAAGAGTGATATTAGCACCACACCCTTCCAATAAAAAATGAAATTTACCAGGTACTCAAGTAGAAAACAGAGTCCGGTGATAGCAGCTGCAGTGAGAAACACCTGGGGGTGAGTTGACAGTAAATCTAATAAGAATCAGCCTCATAATATGACAGTCAAGAAAGCCAATGTCACCTTAGGGAGCTGGAGCAGAAAAGTCAAGTGTCTAGACAAGGGACGTGACTATCCTGGTCTCCTAAGTGCAGAAGGGTCTGCACCTTGGGGTAGGGGTGGGATGGGAAGGATCAACTCTGCTCTTGCTTTCCGCTTTCAAAAGATATAAAGGAATTGGCTTAAATTTAGAGAAGAGCCTTGAAGCCAGGTCTTTGGAGCAACGGAGCCTGGAGGAACAGTGAGCCAGAATTGGCTTCAAATTGTTAGACATGGGGAGGAGGGGCAAGGCTGGCTTTGCGTGGCCTCAAACGGGAGAAGTTACTAGGAGGCCAGAGACCTAAGCGGAGGTCGGCAGAGCCATTGAGTCCTGATCGCTGGAAGTTGTCCAGCCTACAAGGGCAGGGCCCTTGCACACGAGGCAAAAAACAAATAAACAACAACAACAACAACAAAAAAAAAAAACAATGCGGGGATAGAATCAGTCGACGACCTTCGAGGTTCTTGCTGACCCCGTGATGTGGAAGTTCTGGCCGAGCGGCTGGCCATTTCTCAGCAGTCCCACCTCAGCGATGAGGTGCACAACAGTATCTCTCTCGTTAGCTTTTTTATACTCGTTTATTCAAAGAAAATAGGTCGCGCGGGGGTCGGTAAACCAGTTAGGTTGCAGCCTTTAAATCACTGTAACTCCGTGGGGGCCGCGGGTGGGCAGCCTGGGCAAAGCCTAAGGATCGTGAAGACCAACTGTGCAAAGGGATAAACTTCGTCTCCGGCTTTGCGGCACAGGAGGGGCGGGGTTATTTGAAAGGTTCCCCAGGAGAAGGCGATTGGCCCTGGGGAAATCGAAGGGGCGGGACTAGTTCATTGTTGCCATTGGGCCTGCGGGCAAGTGAAGGGATGGCCGCGAGGGGGGCGGAGCCCGCGAGGGGAGGCAATTGGCTGGGCGAGAGCCCACCGCGGGGAGCCAGCGGGCGGGCAGGCGAGCCCGGAGCCTGGAGCCCGGAGCCCGGAGCCCGGAGCCGGGAGGCAGCCGCGGCGAGCTCGCCAGGGCCGCAGAGGGGCGAAGGGCGCACGGGGCGTTGGCACCCGGGCGCGCGCCTGCGTCGCCTACTTAGATGTGGCGAGGACGTTTCTGTGCCTGGTGCGCTAGACGCGAGCCATTCAACAGCTGGCCTCACGGGCAGCAGTCGCAGGGAGCGACTGGAAGCACTGACGGTGGCGACTGCGGCGGTTGGAGGGAGGCGGAGGCGGCAGCGGCGGCGGCGGCGGTGGTGGCGGTCCCGCTATCCCAGCGGAGCCCGGAGTGGAGACGCAACAGCTCCTGAGGCTCCCGGTAAATGCCCTCCGCTCTGCTGGCAGAGAAGGCAGCCACGTCCCGCTGCGTCTCGCCCGGCTGGCCGCCCTGGCCTGCCGGAGCTGTGGGTGCCCCCACAGACAGGGCCACGCTGGACCCTCGGTGGGGATTGGGGAGGGGCTGCGCAGGAGACCCGGGTCGTCCCTCCTGCCCCAGCAGAGTCAGGTCTTCCAGAGATGCGCCTAAGCTCTTCCCCTGGTCCTCTCCCTCCACCCGACACCCTGCTGCGCTTCCTCCGGCCCTGGCGCCGCACTAGGGGGCGCTCTGGAGCCCACTCGAGGGCTCACTCCGGCCTCTGCTCTGGCCTAGGTCACTCCAGACATTCCCCTGGAGTATGTTGGCACTGACATCCCCCTAATGGAAACTGAAGGTGCCCTCTCCCGCTCGATGGGCACTCCAAGGGTCCGGGTGCTTGACTTCCCGCCTTGCTCTCGCAGCACTCATCCAATTAATCATTAGCAGGGCCCCGCCGCCTCCGCCCCCAATGACCCCCATCCTTGGCTTCAGGGACCTATCAAGAGACTCTGAGTCTCTGCTTGAGGTTTCCAGCGCGGGTGGAATAAGACCGTTTTAATCTGACCAGGAGAGCAGGGCTTACCCCCAAGGCTTTCGGGATGCAGACTCCAGAGCTTGGGTTGGTGGGCGGAGGGGTGAGGGGAAGAATCAAGTTTGGGAGGCTCGTGCTGCAGGAGATGCGTGCCATGCCCGGGCGCACGTGGGAGAATCATAGTCTTGGTCCTTGGGATTCACGCCTTCTTTACATTTAATCTCCTGCTTTCTGTGATCTTGTTTAAAGCCGACCATTACCGGAGGACTTTCGAAAGCTGCTAACTCTGAGGGGTGGCTTGTATTGGAATGATGGGTCCCAGCACGGGGGCGGGGTCGGGGGCTGGTTATCCTTTGGGCCTTTTCATTTTCTTGGTGTCTCTTCTAGATTGGGAATATACTCTCAAAGATCATGGCCATTTTGCCCTATGTTTTCCTGCCTGCCTCTGATCTAACTTTGGAATCTCATGCTGTTGAAAGAGTGTAAACTTGTGCTCAGTCTTCATGCTGAGAAAACCATTCTTTGGAATAATATGCTGAGACCTCTCAAATTCTAGCGTTTTGTTTGTTTGTTTGTTCGCCTTTTGTGGCATTCCAGTAGTCACATTTTTCTGTGTTCTGTTTTGGGTCTTTTTTTTTGGAGGGAGTCCCCTCAAAGCATGGAGTTGCTTGAAGCATGGGATAACTTCCATGAGGGCATTTTTCCTTCAACTCTTGTTAAGCACAGAAGAAGGTGGCAAGTGGAATAGGCTTGCCAGCACTGGTGCCCAGGGGATCCCAGTTGTCACATACATGAGAGAATGGATGGAGATGACTTGAGGTGGAGTAACATTGGGGGGAGGGGGACAGGGCCTGCAGAGGCCATCTTGGCTTCTGTGGTGGATCATGGGCTTTCCATTTAGCCCCAGCCAAAGATTATGCCTGCATTGTGGTCCATTTGTCCAGATTCCCTATCATACTGAGGACAGTGGCCTTTGACTAGCTTCATGTGTCATCTCTAGCATCAGAAGGAAAGATGAGGGCCCAGTGCAGTGGCTCAAGCCTGTAATCCTAGCACTCTGGGAGGCTGAGGTGGGAGGATTGCTTGAGCTCAGGAGTTCAAGACCAGCCTGAGCAAAAGTGAGTTCCCGTCTCTCCTAAAAATACAAAAAAATCAGCTGGGCATGGTGGCACATGCTTGTAGTCCCAGCTACTTGGAAGGCTGAGGCAGAAGAATTGCATGAGCCCAGGAGCTGGAGGTTGCAGTGAGCTACAATGACACCACTGCATTCTACTCAGGGTGACAGAGTGAGTACAACAACGACAACAACAAGAAAAATACAAAAAAAGAAGGAGGAGATGAGGCACAGAGGTTAGGGAACATGGAGGTGATGATGGTGGTGGTGGTGGTGGGATGTGTGTGTGTGAGAGAAAGAGAGAAAGAAAGGGAAGGAAGGAAGGAAGGAGGGAGGGAGGGAAGGAAGGAAGGAAGGGAGGAAAGAAAGTTGAAGCAGCTCTCTGCCATTGAGACGGGCTACACGTTTATCTTCCCAGCATGCATTCCTGCCTTTGCTAGAGAAAGGGACTTTTGCTGAGTTATTTCAGAGCCAGGGTGATTATAAATTGTGCAACTCTCTGATTTAGTGCCCACTGGGCTCTACGGGTTCTATGTTACATCCAACATGCTTCTGTCACTTTAAGAAGCTTTAAAACCAAGTTTTGGGCTGAGGCAGACTAATGCCCAAGACACAGTCAGAGCAAACTTGGACAGCATGGAATCCAGTGGGGCTTTGGTCAGAAGAGACAGCGTAAGGGCTGGAGCACTTACAGAAGAAGATGAAGGTAAGTGAGAATTGAGTAGCCATAATAATAATAATAATAATAAGAAGAAGAAGAAGAAGAAGAAGAAGAAGAACTCACATTAATTGAGTACTTACTAGGGGTTAAATACTTGTATCATTTCATTTAATCTTGCAAAAATCCTGTAAGGTAGGCACTATGATCATCTTTTGAAGTTCAAAGAGGTAGGTAACAAGTCCAAGGACATCACCCAGCTGGTCAATCAATGGCAGAGGTGGGATTTGAATCCAAGTCTGCTTGACACCAGACCTTGAGCTCAAAAGTATTTTGCTTTTACTGTCACAGAGAAGGTTTCATAAAAGAAGTGAAGTGTGATCAAGGATTTGAAGCATGGGTAAGATTTAAATGAGGACAGGGGACATTTTGCTGGGGGGATCAATATCTTTGAAGGAATTCAAGGAGGACTGGTCCAACTATTATAGAATGGGGGATGGACACAGGGACATGAGGAAATATGGGGTTGGCGTGTGGGGTAGGATCATGTTTTAGAACGCCTTGAGGGGAACATGTGATTTGATGCAGTAAGAAATAGGGGATGTTGAGAATTTTTGAGCAAGAAAGAACATGACAAAAGCAGTATCAATTACCTGGAGTCACCTGCTTTGGTCCCTGAAACTGTGTCTCTCTCATCCTTTCTTGAGAACCTTGCCCAGTTGTCAGCATATTTAACTCTTGTTTTTGAATTTCCTGAGCCCTTAGGGAGTACCAGACACATGTAACCAAATAGATTCCCGGGTCCAGTGTGCAGAAAGAGCAAGCTAGGCCTGTGGTCAAATTCAGCCCTAGACGCATGTGCTTCAGCCTGCCCAATACTTGAAAAGGCAATTGAATTAGGGGGTCAACATTGAAAAAGCAAAAGATCTCGATAAAAATCAGGATTTCTAGCTTATGTTGAAATGCCAGAAGGCCTGGTCTACATTTTACCTGCGGAACGCAAAGCTGTGCAGAATTGACTTCTTTAGCTGGGGGCTGAGTGCTCTGCTCTCTGCCTGCAATGGGGACACTGTTCTAGCCCCCATTCCTGGGACCTACCAAACCCTGTAGGCCCCAGCCCCCTGCTCGAGGGAAACAAGCCCCCACCTGGGAAGATTCTAATTCAGGATTAGCTTCTTGTTTTACTGTGTAATTAGGGAATTGTCAGACATGCAGTAGAGCTGTCTCTGTGAAATGCAAATAATCTTAACATACGTGGATGCTATGGGCGTCATTATGGAACATTATCCAGAGGTGCTAGCTTTCCTCTGGGTGGGACTGACCACCTGCTATGCTAGGGCCCCAGAGAGACATTCTGGTGGGCCTTGCTATTTTCCTTCATCCTTAACTTGGACTCGGGTTTTATTTTTGCTGAATACTTGATGTGACTACAACCTGAGTCAAAATGATAAAAAGAATTCAGGGGGAAAAACAACTCAGAAGTGACTACCTAAAATGGAGCATGTTAGAAATATTAATCTGCAAGTCCCTGGAAGCACTCTACATGTTCTAGATGGACAGGTATAAGCCACTCTGTGTTGGCATTTGGGGTGGAGAGTTCTTCATTGTGCAGATCTGTCCAGGAACTGCAAGACATTTAGCATTGCTGGCCCCCTGCTAACCAAATGGCAATGGTGCCCTTGCCTATGCCAGTTATTGTGACAACTGCGACTGTTCCTATGTATGTCCCAATACATAAAAGGGAGCAATACTGGCACACTTAAAAACCACTGGAGCATATTCCCAGGAATTCTAACACTCATTTCATGTTAAAGAATGTTAAAACCATTATTGCTTATCCGTGGCCCGAAGTACCCTTTGTCTCTCCCAGCATTCACCATTTTCTTTCTTAGATTCCAGTTAATTGTCTTAATTTATTTCTCTTGCTAGACTCAGTTCTTTGAAGGTGGCTCATCGCTATAGCCCCCAAAGTGCCTTAAATGGAATAGGTGCTTGGTAGGTATGCTCGAATTAATCTCAATGCTCGCTGATTAATGTTAATAGCTCTAGGAGTCTGAAAGAACAAGCAAATCTGCATTATCATTTCACTGTTGATCTTTAGATGCTATTATTAGTATTTCAAATGTGGAAGTAACACCTTTTAAATGTAGTTGTTGAGCAAAGTCTCTGTTTTAGGTAAGATTTAGCATCATTTAGTTCCTACTATGTGCCAGGCACTGTTCTGGGCTCTGAAGATATAATGGTGAACCAGACAGATGCAGTCCCCGCCCTTGTGGATAAAAAAACAGGTTAACAAATACACATGCTGGTTAGATGGTTTCAATGTTACACTGAAAATAAAATGGAGTGTTATGTTACCAAGTGCCAGGGATGGAGCAGTGCTATTTCAGAGAGTGTTCAGGGAAGGCTTCTCTGAGGAGGTGACATTCAAGTCAAATTGGAACAAGAAGGAGCCAGCCATGAGAAGATCTCAGGGGAGAGCACCTCGGGCAGAGGAAACCACAAGTGCAAAGGCCCTAAGGGGTGGACCTGATACGTTTGAGGGACAGCAAAAGGCCAGACGGACTGGGATGGAGAGAATGAGGGCAGTAGGGGAGAAGGGTACAAAGTGAGTTGAAAGAGGTGGGCAGGGGCCATATTTTGAGGGTAAGCAGTTTGAA